CCCCCCCCCCTGTCGTGGCCGCCGCTTTGCTAACGGGTGTAGTTCTCCCCGTCGTCCTCGCCCACTCGGACCTCATCCGCGTCGAGGCAATGGTCATGTCCATCGTGGGCGGGCTGCTGATCTACGGCACCATCATCAGCTTCAGCATGTTCTTCCACGAGGAGCAGGAATTCTGACCGGTCCGAGCGCCGCGTCGGCACTTCATTTGCGGGACGGGAGGCGTCGCCGGCCAGGTTTTACGAACGATACGAGGGGCAAAGCATGCGGCACGAGGCAGGCCACGTCGGCCCACGTGCACCATGCCATCACCATGAAGTTGACTTGTTGGGTCTTTTGGCAACCTGGAAATTTGCATTAAAGCGAAGTCTATCCGTTTGATTAGTAATGGGAACAAGTAATGCCGCTGTATTGATGATGCCTAGTACGTGATGAGGACGAGTGTTGTAATCGTCACATTGCTCTCGTTCTTGCTGGAAACGGGGGGAGCACAGGAAAAGAAAGCAAAGGAACACACACGCAAAGCCCATGCCCGTGTGTCGCTTGTGCGACAAGCCGTCTGTCCACCCGCTCCTGAGTCCTCGTCCTTGTTGAACCGGCCAGCAAGCTCCGCGTACGCCATGGGCCCCTTATGCTACGTCTGAAAAGGTGCCCAGCGGCCCGCACAGCTTGGTAAACATTTCGTCGCGCTCCCCCTCTGGCGTGCTGAGCGTCGTGACTGCGCCGCCGGCACCGATGCGCCAGACCTCGCGCGGCTCGGCTTCGCCAGCCTCGGCCGGGGCCTGCTCGTCGTCCCAGCGGAACATGGTGCGGATCGTGACGCTCCAGTCGCCCTTTCCCTGCACGTCCAGGTACCCAATGACGCCCGAGTAGACGCTGCGCTCGGCGGGCTCGATGGTCCGCAGGATGTCGCAGCTGCGCTTCTTGGGGGCGCCCGTCATGCTGCCCGGCGGCAGGCAGCTCGCCAGCACGTCCATCCCGGTAAAGGGGAACTCGCCGCGGGCCGGGTCCGTCCCCGCCTCGAGCTTCTCCGCCGGGAGCTGGCCGTTGACGGCCGTCACCATTTGGAACACGCTGGCGTACTCCTCTACGCGGAGCTGATCGGGCACGGTCACGCTCTGGGCGCCGCACACGCCGTGCAGGTCGTGCCGGACGAGGTCGACAATCATGAGGTTCTCGGCCTCCTCCTTGGGCACGTGGAGAATCTCTTCGGCTTGCGCCAGCGTCGATACCGCAGGCGACTTGCGGACCGTCCCTTTCATCGGCCGCATGCAACACAGGCCCTTGGGGTCGTGCGTCAAGAATCGCTCGGGGGAGCTGCTGATGACAGTCACTCCGCCGAGACGGGCGAAGGAGCCGAACGGCGCCGGCTGTCTCGCTCTCAGCGTCCGGTATATTTGCCACGGCGTGCCATGCCGGCACGCCTCGTCGACTGGTGGCAGGTTCTGGGGCGGCTGCTCCCCGGGCGCGGACAGCGTGCGGGTGTGGTGCGGCTGGTCGTTGCCGCGCGGCCGGGTCATGGTCGTCTGCGCAGTGAGACAGAGCTCGTAGGACTCGCCGTCTTTGATGTAGTCCTGGCACTTGCTCACATCCGACTCGTACCCGTTCGAGTCTGGCACAGAGACACGCAGGCGACCCCTCCCCTTGCGTACGTCGTCGAGCAGAGCTTCGTTGGAGCGGCCAGACTTGGCGTGCGGGCTTCGCCCACAGCCGGGGTGCCGCCACGGGTGCGACGCCTCGATGGCTTGGACGACATGGTCGATCCACAAGTCGTCACCGTCTTTGCAAGTGAGGGCTTGCACATAAGCAACCCCGGCTTGATGATCGAGCACGACGCTTTTTGTGACCCAGGCCATGCAAAGGTCGGGTCGGCTATGGCCGCGCGCCCCGGGAACAGACCCGGGACTCAACGTGCTCAGGCCCATCTCGTATGTAACAAATCCCACGAAGCCGCCCTTGAAAGCCGGCGCGTCGTCATCGCCGGTCACCCTTCTCCAGCGCCAATACTCCGACATGACGTGCCAGGGGCTCCATGGATCGACATCCTCTCCCAGGTGAATCCGTTGTGATGCTTCTTGTCGTCCACGAGAGGCGGGCTGCCGCAGAACCATGTAGCTGTCACCCACGTGATATTCCATGCGCAGGGCTTCATCGACAGCCAGAGCAACAATGGAGCTCCTCGCCAGGGGATCGCCGTTGACAGTGCTCGACGAGTCCAGAATGATGGTATCCTTGTCGCCGAGGCCAAGCACCTCGGCGATGTCCGCCGTGTCCACGCCCGCAGGTAGCTTGATTCGCCGGCAAGTATATCCCGGCTTGACGCCTCGCTGAGCCAGACCAGACTGCAGATCGTTCCACCACGGGCAGGCGGACAGCGTTCGTCCGGAATCCAAGCCAGGCAGACTACGGCTCAGCGGGTTCAGGCTGTCGGCGTGATCGACGCTAGGTTTCCCCGGGACCTTTCGTCCTGCCGCTTCGTTCCATTCCAGCGCCCGGCGGAACCAGTTGCGAACCACTCCCCCGGCCGCGGCCTCGGTGCAGACAGACTCGGGGTGATACTGGACGCCCCACAACGGCCTCGTGGCATGTCGAGCGGCCATCAAGATGCGCTCCGGGTCGTGCTTGCTGTCGCCGTCGTAGTCCTCCAGGATCCACGCCAGGGGTTGCAGTTCCGGAGCCTGTTTGAACGGCACCCACCGCGCCTCGGGCCAATCCTGCTCCGGAACGCGGTCCTGTCCGATATCCGCACACAGGCTGTGGTACAGGGTGGCCTTGAAGCGAGGCACCTGGTCGAAGATATCGGCAGGCGGCGCCTGGACATGGTCAATCTCTCGAACCATGCCGTGCAGACCCCTCCGGAGGCGTCGAATGCTGCCTCCGAAATGCTCCACCAGGCTCTGAAACCCGAGACAGATGCCGAGCACCGGCACGGCCTGCTCCTGGGGCAGGTCCCAGAGCAGCTTGAAGACGCCCACATCAGCGTCGTGGAGCGGCGAGCCGGGCCCGGGCCCGCAGACCACGGCGTCGAAGTCGGAGAGCCGCTGCAGAAACTGCTGCCTGGTCCAGTCGGGCGTGGCGTCGGAGTCGACGGTCTTTAGGTCCATGTGCAAGACATGGACGGCGACGTTGGCGCCGAGCGCATCCTTGAGAAGGGAGACGATGTTGTTGGTGAAGGAGTCGTAGGCGTCGAGGAACAAGATGCGACGCCCGATGCTGCCGTTGCTTCTGCTGCTGCTGCCGCTGCTGCTGCTGGTCTCGTCGCTGCCGCGCTCGTGAGGATTCGCATGCGCCGGCGTTTCCTCCGCTCTCGGCGTGCTCGAGATGATGCCCATCGCACCTTCTGGGACGCCCGGTACGACGGCAACGTCGTTCCTGCCGCGGTTCACAGCTACCAATGGAGACGGTGGCATCCGATGCCGGAACCTGAAGGGAAAAAGGAAAAAAAAAAAAAAAAAAAAAAGGG